AAGAGGCAGGCTTCGGACAGGCCACAGAGAGGCCGGGGCAGGCCTGCCGGCTGCCGAGAAGCGTTTGAGGGCGGGGCCCGTGGGTGTCTAACGTTGCCTTCGGAAGCCCATAGAAAAAGCTTTGTGGGCCAAGCTGCGGCCTGCAGAAACGTTTGCGGGCGGGGCCCGTGGGTGAAGAGAAGAGGCAGGCTTCGGACAGGCCACAGAGAGGCCGGGGCAGGCCTGCAGGCTGCCGAGAAGCCTTTGAGGGCGGGGCCCGTGGGTGTCTAACGTTGCTTTCGGAAAAGCCCATAAGAAGAGGAGAGGCAGGCCTCGGACAGGCCACCGAGAGGCCGCGGCCAACCACAATGCACCTGCACACATGCCTTTGGAAGTGCTTGGAAGGGTTCTGCAAGGCTTGGCCAACTGCTTCACCCTGCGGTGTCCCAGGCGCCTCCCCGCCTAGGCTTTGGCTATAGGCCGGGGTCGGCGGATATTATATACTAGTGTATATATAGTGTATATGGATGGATGGATGGATGGATAGAACTTGGAACCTGTCCAAGATCTGCCAACTCTCTTTCATCTAGAACGTGCTTCTCGCTTTGTTGCATCTTGTTCAGCATGCCATCGGATAAACTGCTACCTGGTCTGGAGCATGAGGGTGACAATAGCATACCATCAGATATTGCACTCCCATCTGCCATCTGCAGGCCATGGTCCTGGGGGAGACCGAGCAACTTGGACAGATGAGCCATTGAGCAACTGGGCGGGGCCGTTGACTCTTGACCCAAGGGAAGGTTTCTTCGCGACCCATGTTGGGCCCCAAAATGGTCACCATTCAAGTGACCTGTGACGAGTTCTGGTCGTCAATTGCTTGAAGAACCGTTGCTTGGAGCGACCAGACCGGCCTTGGACGTTTTCCTCCAACGTCCTTGGGACCAAAACCGAAAGCATTCCTAAGCACCGAAGGGAGATCCGAAGAGTGTATCGACATGGGGTGCCGATCGCCGGTTCTTTTTTTCTCCGAGCATGGTCCACCCCAATATTTGTTGGGACGGTCGCTAATTGGAGAACGAGTGACTAGGCTGTATCTCCTGGTTGTGATATGCTATGGTAGCCCTGTAGTACCCTGAATGCATCAAACATTCTGCGCTTGGGCGGCAAGTCCAATCAAGTTCACCAAGTAGACAGGGCTCAGCAGAGGTATCCTTTTTGCACCGTGTGAAGCAATGTGAAGCATACATGGCTAGCCTGTTTCAATTGGAAGGCACGCTAGGAAAAGTCGTTGCTTCGAGGGGTGTGCTCGCAGTTCCCAGTTGGGGAAATTCCTTTTCAGGTGGCGGTGCCGGAAGACGTCCCGTAGCCTACGCATGTATGAGGCGTTGGTAGGCGTAGCACATGGGCGGCCACTTTTTCATCTCTTTTGGGGAAACGTTGGGTGGCCTGCTTCAATATCCGGTGTGGAAGACGTCCGAAGTGAGGCTGTGAACATCAATGGCCTTCCATCCGGGTTGGAGCAAGCGATTGCTGGGCGGCCATGGTGGGGCGGGATGGATGATCAGGGAGCACGTGAAAATGCTGGTGGGTTGGGGTATTCACAGTCAAAGTGCAACAGGATGTCAGGTCATCATGGTGATGACCAAAGAACGCCGCTCCTGGTTCAAATTCCAAGTGGTGGTATACAGCATGTGGAAAGATTTCTGAGGACGCGTGACCACCACTCACAAAAACCAATGAAGGTTGCGATTCAATCACACTCCACTGATGGTTGATCATCAAAATGGAGTGGATGTTGATGAACGAACACATAAAGCACCTTTTTGATTGTTGGACGTAGAGCATTTATTGGAAAGTCTGTCGAGTGCCAGGTAAAGAGAGTTTGTGCGCCCCAGAGAGGGATTTTTGGAATGATAGGAACTTCGCACTCCGAAACGTTCCACATCCCCCTCTGTTCCGGGAGGTGTACTTTCAGTGAGTGTGACCCCCCGACCCATGAAGATAAGACAAGAAGCTATGCGAAGATGATAGCTTGATATCAGAAATATAGTAATTTCTTTCCCTTGTTAACTCCTGTTTGCAAACGCTTGATATTTTGTATTCTACTACCTTTGGTTTTCAACATGAAAACGATGTCCACTTTCTGTCGGATCCGCCTGTTTTCCACCGTCCCCACCACTGCGTTCGGCCGCCGGTGCGCCGAGGTTCGGACGGTGGAAGTGGTGCAGGAGTCCCATGACCAGGCGGTGCAGTGAAGAGCGTCTGCCGAAAACGAGCCCGAAGTCCATGGGACTGCCATATATGTCCACATTGACTCCCCTGGCACCACCCCTGGCCGTTTCTCGGCAAATTGGCTACATGGAGCGTCTGGGTTCGTTTTAATCTATTCGAGAAGAGGATCTCGTTTTTCAACAATCCGCTTCAGAAAGCC